GGGTCAACCCACCACAACGTATCACTTCTGTGTATGCACTAGTCTTTCAGGGTATGTTTTTCCTCTGAAAATTCAGCGAGAACAGGAAAAGCAAATTAAAAGACTGCTCATTAGTTTTAAAATAATTGACATTACCAGTTCTGATTTCAATATTTGCATCAGAAAGGTTGACCGTTTCTTTCAAATGAATAGAAACGATTTGGCACCAGGTGCTTATAGATAGAGCAGGTCTCTTCCACTTTTAACACAGTGATTCTGTAATTCCTGATCTTTCTTTTTATTACATACATCTTTGTAGGAATCGAATCAAACACCTGACTGAACCACTGAAATAATGTTCTATATCTTTTCTAAAATGTGATAAGCAGGAATGGCAGCATTTAAGGCAGACGGTGGGTTCTGATTTTGTTTTATTGTTCCGAAATTTCCAAGTAAGGTCATTACAAGGCATTGTTAACAGATTCATACAAATTCCTAAGCAAAAAGGCCCTGATTCTACATGACTTAGTGCACTGGCTGAGAATTTACATCTCTACGATCTAAGAGCAAAGTGGGTGTCAAGATTTAAAAGGTAATGCCTGCTTTGCACTCAGATTGGAGAAGTGTACAAGACCTCAAAAGCACATGGCATTTAAAATTCAGGCCAAATGGATCTGCTTCTCTTTATTCAGGTTTTACATCAGTGTAGGTCCATTGGCTTGACTGTAGTTAAGTGTGCTTTATAACTGAGGTCACATAGGTGAGTTTTCTCAACAACAGAATACAGGCTTTAGCCGTCTAATCTGAGGGGCTAGTAGTTTAAGTGGCATATAAAGATTATATAAAAGAATCACTAGCCACTTCACATAAAACTAAAAAAAAATATGACTCATACAAAGATTCACATGCTTTTTTTGGAGCCATTCTTTCAGAACTGTAAAATAAAGCAAGAACAGCAAACCAGTAATGCTTTTTCTTTTTCACTGTACTTTTTTTTTGCTATTACTGAAAATTAGTTCTACAGAAATGCTTAAAAAGGAGGTATAACGTCGCACAATTTTTTTCCCTTTCAATCCACGTTTTAACTTGATTTTCTTCCCCTTTTCAGAGGTGTTAGTGATGTTTTCTGCCTTTTCTCAAACTTGCCAAGTGCCACAGAGCTGCCTTCATCCCTTCACTTTGGGGCTCTACTGAAGGTGAAACCAGCTCTTCTCACTTCAGGTAACTCACATAAGATGATGCTCTTTTCTTCTTCTTTTTTTATTTGTATTGAAAATCGAGAAGAATCTCCAAAACAGGTTCCTGTGATATACCTCCTTGCTTTGAGCTAGTCGCACAATTACTACTCCTTTCTCACTTCTACAACAGGGCAAGGGGGTAAGCAGCAGTCCTGAATTTAACTGTGTCCAAATGCTACTGAAACTGTGTAGCAGGGGATGCTTAATTCCCGTATGTGCTTTTGAAAGTCCTCCACAAAATTCACAGAGGGACAAAGTCAGATTTTGTAGAGGAACTATGGTTTTCTCTGTTTTCTATAGAGAGTTTAGCATGTTTTTTAAGCTTTGTGAAATAATGAAATAAAACTAACAACCCAAAGTTATGACTAAATATCTAATGCTATTTTTTTCTTGTTACTGAGTGTCCAAAGACACTGAGGTAAAATGACTTATTAACATTTACTAATCACTATGTGCTCTTTGTTAAAATTTACAAATTCTGCACTAGTGCAACGTGCTAGTCTGCAAAGCTATGTATTATCCAAACATCTCCTGGTGTGGGAAACAATCTCCGTATTATGCAGCATGTAAGTGAAAAGTCAGGATGATAACTACATCTCCATTCCCTCCCTTAACTACAGTGGGAGAAATTAACAGTATATCTGAACACAACAAAGCTGAGCAAAATCTGGTTCACTGGTATCCTACTGCAGCTGATTTCAGGTAGTGCAATGTGGAGGAGTGCTTGGTCATAAGCAATGGATCTCCAGAAGGTGTCTGGAGGATCCAGGCATACTGGTAACAGTTGAGGTAGATAGGGAAGGGATGGGAGATCATCAGGCATTGGGATTTGATGCTGGGGTCATCAGTACCTCCAATGCATCCTAACAAACAGTCTCGTACTACTCTCACATCCTGATAATTTGGCCACATTTATATCACACTCTTACTCAAATATTTCTTTATTTGAAGTAGCTGTTACCTCTAATTCCTGGTACTCCTTGATCTCCTGGCATGCCTTTCAACCCCGGGAAACCAGGAAGCCCGAAATCCCCTCGGGAACCTGCTGCTGCTCCTAAAACGTCACCAGGAAAGCCCTTCAGTCCTGCCACTCCCGGAGCACCGGATTTTCCTGTAAGGCCTGGGTGTCCCTGCAGTCCAGGTAGACCGTTCGGGCCTCTGTCTCCCCTGGGCCCAGTAAAACCTATAAATAAAACATGGAGTAGGCATCACAGGGTTCATTACAGATGTTGTAGTTCAAATCCTAGATATACCATCATAACATCTTTTATATTATTGGAATTCCCCCTAGTTCTTAGCAGAAACCTGTAGAATCAAACAAAATGTTATAAAAATGTTTTTATACCATGTATAAGAACATATAGACCATATGTTATAAACACATGGTTTATATGTATCTATCTATATATAGCTATATATAACATATAGACCATATTTTTCAAACCATATATAAGAACTTATAAACCATTTATAAGAACATTTGACCAAATGTGGAAATCAGCAGAACTTACAAGTGACCCCTCAGGAAACCTAGTGCCTGGGTGATATAAGATCCACAGCTCCAAGCACGATTACTTCTGTGCAACTATTTTGACATGGTTATTGCAGCATTTTATAAACTTCTGATTCTGTATGGGCAAAAAAACAGTTCCTGTACACAAAACCCTGGTTTGATAAGCAGCAGGGGTTAAGACGTTTCAGGGAGTCAAATTTGAAAAAACAAATGAGGATTGAATGCATACTGGTAAGCTGGGAAGACCTGGGGGAGTTGCCCAGATCGGTCATTGCTGTTGCTGTTCCCCATGCATCTCAAGGGGCCAATGCCAATCGCTTCACGTTCTTGACAAAGGAGCACCACTGTCCCTGTCCTCCACCTTGTAGGTGAATGACTGGGAGGGCACAAGCCCCCATTACCACAAATGACAGGTGAAAGGCTTCTTGTGGACTGGGAACCTGGACCTGGACTGGAAATTAAGTCCAGGCACTGGTGAAAGATGGTACGGAAGACCGCATAAAAATTGGTCTGAGTGCTGACCACCCTGTGGCGTGGGAGCCATATGGTATGGGAGCCCTAATTTAGCATTTAGAGCACTCTGCAGACCTTAGCAGGGGAAATACAGGTTCATGGTCCTGCCCTATACTGCACAGAGCCATGTTTTATGATGCACCCCTTGCCTGTTGACCAGGACATGCATCATGTCTTCTTTTGCTTTCTCTTTTGCTACTACAGATGCTGTAGATGAGCCTAGAGAATACCTTCAGGTTGTGTGCTGCCTTAGGGCAAAGCAGCACATAGGCACTGGATTTGGGAAAGTTTACAGCACTTCGGTAGCTGTGAGTATTTAGTACTTGGAGAACAGATAGATGGAGAGAATTTCTAAAGAGGTCCTAAGTTAAGGTGCATCAATGGCTTCTGAACTGTGCTACAGAAAAACCTCAGTGCCTGTTTCTCTGACCAAATTAACCTGGTCAAGCATAGGGAAGTGGTAGTTTCTGGCAGTAACTCTTGCTGGACTGACTGATGATCCGTGAACATACTCACTGCACCTTACGTGTTTGTGCCATGGCACTATTTTAGGCACATCTGACTTACTATCTACGAACAGATCAACTATACATGCAATTAATTGGTGTCTTGGACATCTTGGAACCTCTGAAGAGATACGGAAGCCCTGAGATTTAATCTCTACCTATTACAGACCAGCATATATGACAGGCACTGAACACTTGCAGACACTGTTGGAAACACAGCTGCCTGTGGGCAAGGTGAGTAGCTAGTAATCCACCTTTGATAAGTTCAGTATAATTTATACTAATATTGGAAAGAGTTAAATGGAAATACTAATACTAGTATTTTCTTTCTTTTTGCATTATCATCCTGAGTATATTCCATTTGAAATATCTTGTTATTGAATTTTCTTATTTCTATGTGAACTTCATGAATTTTTACTGTCACATTTATAATTTTACACTATAAAGCAGATTTCAAAAGGTTGGATCCTTTTGGATTTAAAAAGTACCAGTTTCGTATAATAGTTTATTGTTTGAATGTGGAAGGGAATGTAAGTGAAAATATAACTGGAATCAAGTTTTTGTGTTTCAGTGACTGTAGTAAAGAGGTCAAAAGTATATAAAGAATGACGAATTATTTCAAGATACCTGGACGACCCGGGAATCCTTCCCGACCTGGATCACCTCGTGTACCATTTAGCCCTGGGTATCCCACTGGACCTGGATCACCGGGGAATCCTCTTGCACCTTTTGCACCTAAATTATATAAAAGAAAGTAAAAAAATGTGATCTGAACAAGCAAAACAGAAATGTGCATACAATGGAAGAAAAGGCAGTGGTAAATATCATCATGATGTGTTTCCAGATGCAAAGATGAAACTTTTTTTTTAATTTAATGGGACTATACTGTAGCTCTTTAGCAGTATTCAAGATCCCAAGACATGGACCAAAAATCTAGGCTAAGTGCTCTTACAAACATGGATTCACCTGACTTAAAGACTAATGATATGGAGACTACTAGGGTGAAAATAATTAGTCTCACAGACTTTTGGAGAATTTTAACATTTTGTAAATTTAGGCTTTTAGCTTAAGGTCAAAAGGCAATGTCAGAGAAGAATGCTCAACAGAAACAGGCACAGATGAGATGCTACAGGAGGCACAAATTTTTCCTTTTCCTGCTAAACTGATCACAGAACAAGAAGAGACTGGTTTAGATAACCACGAAACAGAAATGTACGGCTAAAGGTTAGATCTAATCGTTCTGGAAACCGAATACAAATTAACTAGCCTACTTACTATATTGGTAACAGTACAGGTCTATAGCTTTGGTAGTAAAGGAAGGGCTGTGCCCTGAAAAAGTGTTCCTCTGACACTGAACTTGATGTTCATACCGAGTTATCTCCTAGCAGGTAAAATGAAACCTTGCTTCCTTGTGATGATAGAGTGTTTGACATTCGGGTGAGGGCAAATATTACTATTTCTTAACATCTCAAAACCTGCAAGCATTTCATAGGGTTCTTTTGTTAAGTTTATAAAATGATATTATTTATTATTTAGTTAGTTTTCTCATGCAATAGTTTTATTACATGAGTCTCATTAATTCACTGTATCCCAAGATCAAGGCTTTTTGGTAAAGTTCTTTGAAAATAATTCCTGTGGAATGCTTTGTTTCCCTACTCTCCCCAGCTCCTCAAACTCTTTAAGTTCCCAGCTCAGGTTTGAAGGTCAACAACATGCTTCAACATTTTAAGTGCTGTTGCTTAGCATCACCATGAATTACAACTCATTTATTACACTGAAAGCAAGTCTCTCTCCACCTCTAACTATGACAAACCAATGAAAATATCACTTGAATTTTGATACTTTTTTCCACTTTAGTTTTCTGGATTTCTATTATTTAACCATGATTTTTTGCAGTTTTAGCTGTTGTTTGTGAAGGAGAGTAGGAAACCCTTAAAAAGACGACAAATAAGGTGCACATAAACAGCCAGTGCAGAGTGAACAGCATTTTCCCAGCGCCGTACAGGACTATTGTTCTCTCCCTTATATGAACAATAACTTCTCAGAAAGCAATTAAAAGGAAAAGTCCTAGGCTTTCTGGTCTCAATGAAAAATTCTGATGTGCCTCTTACCCAAACAGCATTTTGGTCTTGTTTCCCATCTGTAATAACTGACTTTCATTCATTCTGTTCAGTATTGCACTAATTAAAAAGCCATGTTAGAGAAAGAAGGTGGCAGATGGAGAATGCAACCACTGCTTACCACATATTTCAGTAACTCATTACACGATGTTAGCTGGTGTTAACACGTTGTGCCAAACAGTAGTAAGAAAAAGTTTTTATTTTAAACCACTGTTTAGTTTGCAAGCACTTTAGCTGTATGTTTGAAACAGAAAACAACTTAAACATTTTACTCAACGGCGATCACGTAGGTCTTGAGCCTACTGAATAACCAGGATGTAACTTAGGGTGGGCTGTGTATGTTGCCAGGAATTTCAAAGGAACACAAGGACATGAGGGTGTGAGACTGTAAAGATGATTCCTTGCTTGCTATACTGGGTGCCATCAGCACCTAGGACACGGAGAGACTTGATTGTCTGTAGCAGAGCTCCATCCTGGCTGAAAAGATGGCAGGAAATCTTGTGGACAAAACTACATCACTCTGAGCAGACAATGAAAACAGTGTAAAGGAGGTGTTGGTGCTTTTGTGTCAATCTGGAGAATATGGGTAGGAATGATGCTCCGGGAAACTGCACTGACACAGCTATGGCAACAAGAAGATGTGAAAAGTTGTAAAATGTGTCCTGTTCCTCCTGGGCTTCCAGGTCCAGAACTGTCTCAAGTTGAAAGTTGGCTATGGTGGTTCTGCACTGGGCACAGCAAGGAGCCTCTTCCAGTTTTTGGAGGGAAGGGATGCAAACCAAATCTTAAAAACAGTACTAAAACATAAGCTGACAAAGACAGAAAGATTTGTTAAAGTGCTAGCCAGGAGTACAAAATATAAACCACACAAAACCAGCATCACTTGTGTTACAGCAGTCTTACAGCTAAGAGTTAAATGTGACTATATTTGCTGAAAGAAAATCCTTCAAGCTCATATGAATGAAAGAATACACAAATCAACATACTGAGAAAAAAATCAGAAAGATGGCAAAGAAAACAGCCTTCAGAAGCATTGATCCTAAAAACAAAATAAGGCATTAGGACTAAGGAAACGTACGTCAGAGATACACATCATCTTTCAAGAGAGATAAAATGTTCCTTTTTAAGATCCATTAGTCTCTGATAAATCGGTCCACACATGCCATAATAAACCTTGTGCTGGGAACAGAAAAAGCTTGACCTTAAAATTCATAGTCCAGATCTCTGACCTAGCCTAAAGCACAGGGGCACAGGAAAGGTTGCATTAGGAATTTTGTATTTCCCAAACTCTGAAGGACACAGTTATGGTTTCTGTCAGTACCTTTACCAGCTAGCTATGAGAATGATTTACTGAAAAACAGCTTTATTGCTTAGGCTGGGAGTACAAAATCTTATAGGAACTACCAGTGCTGGTCAGAGGTTCCCTCTGCAAGGTCACTCGTTATGACCACTCAGCACACCTTGTCTGTGCTTCTCTCAATTCCACCTCCCACCTCCTCTTCCTCTTCCTTTTGGAAAGAGGTGGGGAACCCTTCAGTGCTGGGAAAGCCCAGGATCACCAGATGGTCCCTGTGGGCTAGGGTGGACCAGCTCTGCAAGGAAGGTGTGCGTGGCTATAGACAGCGCAACTGCATCAAGTCAGATGACCTGGCCCATCACGCCGAGCTGCGTTAAAGACTTCAGGCTCACACCTGCTGAAGGTGCTCTGCATATCGCATGAGCAGGAGTAGTAAGACGGATCTGCCGCAGTCCTCCATTGCAACCTTTTATCACCCTGCTCTCAGAGGACAGGATTCTCCTTGTGAGGTGTTCAGTCAGCTCTGAGAGACCTTGGTACACCCTCTACCAATAAACTTGTAGACTCTCTCTATATACTCTCACTTACTTGCATGTGGAGAATAGCAAACGGGCTGTCCTTTCTGTCTTCTGTTTCATGGCTGAAGGCAGAATTAGCTCAGGAATGGTGCAGCCACCTGGGCTGCATGCTGCTTAGATATCTCTGCCGGCTTCAAGTCAATGCTGTCCTCCACTGTAATTTCTAAAACTCGCTGCCTGCTAAAGCTCGACTTCAATTGATTGGGCAAGATCTCCCTAAAAATGTCATGTATGTGGGAAGCAAAGGTGAAGGCAAAATGTTACCTGTGGCTCCTGGCAGTCCTGGCTTGCCTTGGGATCCCTTTGGTGGCCTCACACAGCCCGCACCTGCAGACAAAGAGTGTTAGTCACACTGTATGTGCTCATGCGCTGCCTCTCAGCTCTGCGCCTGCAGCTGAGACATCATTAAAGCAGGTGAGTGAAATTAACAGGCAAAACCCTAATTTAAAAAAAGTTTTATTCTTCACTAAAAAAAAAAATTGGTTGTGGGTGGCATTTTCAGGGGAGCACTCAAGCTGAGCTCCAACCCAAGAGGAGCTCTTCTGCCTATTTTACATGGGCTATGGTGGCTGCTCCAGTTAGGCTGCCATGGGAAGGGTAGTCCAACCTCATGGATGACTGTATTTTTCAGAGTAAGAGAAACACTTCGTTTCCCTGTGAGCAGTTTATACCCCTGAAGCAATCAAGTCAATTTTTGGTACAAATGAAGGTGTTTTTTTTAAATTCATCAAATTGCACTAAAAATCTTCACTCAAAGCTCTTCTTTAAAAAAAGTTGCTTAAATTTTCCTGGGCATCTAATTTCTGGGAATTTGTCACAATAAAGACTCAGGAGCAATGAAATAAAGAATTTCTGAATTGCAGAGCTAAACCCAATAATTTTAGAGTATGTTCAATTTGACTAAATTACTTTAGAGCTATGTACAGTATATGCATGTTTATTTGTGACCTGAAGTTCAAATAGTCTGCAATCAAGAGCATCCAAAGCAGTCATCAGAAAGGAAGTATCAAGCTATACGAGCAGCATAAGACTAAATATTAAAATATATTCAAGCCATATGTATGTACAGTACCTGACCATATTGGCTCGGTTCCATCTCCTCTAGAAAAGTCTTCAATGACCTGCCCACAGTCTATAAGCAAAGAACGGGAAAAGACAGTTATTATTTAAAAGAGACAAACTGTGTATTACAACATCAGATAATGAATTCTTTTACTATAAAGTACTGGAACTCTCTATCCATATATTAATTAGTTCCAGGCCTGAAATCTAACCTCATCAGAGTTAGGAGGCTATGTGTCCCATGCACTGTGTAGGGTTGGTAGGCTCCTGCTCTGGCTTGCATATCCTGCCAGGCATCTTGAAGCTGAGCAATAACACTCTGAGCCTGAGCTCCCGTGAACGTAGCCCTAGCGTTCTTATGCTGGAAGGGACTCACAAAGCTGCAGAGATACTATGAAGAGCTCTGAAGGATGGGTACATGATTTCCTCTGGTCAATTAGAAGATTATGTTGGGTGGGGAAGACCAGAGAAAACCACCTGTGAGTACTCCAGTGGCAGGACATTGCTCCATTGCCTCCAGCTGCTCAAAACCCGAAAGATTTTACCTGCTGACACTAACGCATTCATTTATGCCATTTCTATACTTGACATGAAACTACCTGGACTTCTGAATTATTTCCTGCTTTAAGATTTCTGGACAACTAATGCAAGCAATCCCTTTTTACCTGCAAAATCCGCCCTCCCAAACGTTTGCCTTTTCAACAGTGTGCTGTACAGATGCTGTACATGATTCAGTAATGATCTTCCACGGCTTTGACATAAGACAGAGTGATGTCTCTTACCTAGTTGGCCAGGCTCTCCTGGCAGACCAGGCAGACCTGGAGGTCCAGGGTTTCCATCTTGTCCATGGTCACCTGGAGGACCCCGGTAGCCTTTTGGACCAGGAAATCCTTCACCCGGCAGGCCTGCTTCTCCTGGAAAGCCCTTTGGGCCTAATTCGCCTGGATAACCAGGATCACCAGGCAAACCTCTGATGCCATCACCCTGCAGGAAGCGAATGGAGGTGGTGACTCCTGACTTTGCTGAGAAACAAACAAAACTCAAACAGTTGAACTACTCTCATGAATAACATCTTACAGGCAGTAATTCCTCAGGTGTTGCATACCACCTGTTTAAATCAACATTGCAAATAAAATATATTTTAAATAATCTGACTTTAATTTAAATCCCATGGCAGAAGCAGCATGAGAGGAGCACTCTTAGAGGGAGCATTCCCCTAAAAATGTTGGCCTACGAACAGCACTTGGGCAATATGAATCACTGCTGTGGAGAGGCCTACTGCCCTTTCTGAAAAGCTGCAAGTGGGTTTTGGGGAAACCACATGCACTGACAGAGGTGTTCTGGTGTGGCACTTACTTACTTCTGAGACCCTGAGAAAAGCTGACATAAAATTGCACCCAAATGGGCAGATTTTTATTTTGCCTGTTCCTCTAGTGATATTTGTACACTACTGAATCAACATCTTACGAACATCACTAGAGAACTTTTCCATCCTCAGAAGTAATATAAAGTACCATCTTTACTGGTAGTAAAAAGCCCTGTGGTCCAGATTGGACGATATGGCTCTGGTCCATCTTCAAATATGATGTAAGAGCATCTCAGTGGTCCAAAACAGCATTTATGATGGGCGAGATGAATTCCTCTTGCAAGGCGTCTAACTTTTTCTTTTGCCTACAGAAGGAGCTTAGAAAATGGACTGAGACTACATGTCTAACTTCTAGATGGCTACAGTTAGTCAGCTGAGGTGCTATCAAGCATATATATGATGACAGAACCTACGTTTTGAGGATGTAAAATTGCAGTAAATATTGCCTTTCTTTAACTCAGTTGTAACAAAGGTGTTGAAGTTCAGTCACACACAATCTCTCTTAGACAACGCTAGAAAGAGTCACTAATAAACTACTAATTATGACAAACTAGCTGGCCTAAAATGGTTTTACACTACTACTTAGTTGTTTAAATAAAATGGAAATAAAAGTGAAAGATTGTTCCAAAAACTCCGAGAGTAAACCTAATGTTTAATATACCAATAATCAGCAAAGCCAGTCTAGCTGTGCATCATTATCTGTGGGAGAAGGATAGGCTGGTGATCATAACCCCTCAGAATTAAATGCATTAGTAACTGAGTGTGGTGGAAATGATTTAGCTGTATTTGATACTTACTGGAAGGCCAGGCTGTCCTGGTAAACCATCTAATCCATCTCTGCCTGGGAAACCATCTTCACCTCTGATACCAGGCAGCCCAGGATCTCCTCGGATTCCTTTGGTGCCTAAAGAAGACCCTTCATTGTGAGTCCAATCTCTCATGGTATAAATAATATACTCAAGGTATAGTCTCAAGGTATAAATAACAGCAAAATACACGTGATGATATAAATTTTTACCCTACCTTTAGTAGTTATGTGTAAAGAATCTCCCTTTTCTCCTTTTGGTCCAGGAAATCCATCTAGACCCGAAAATCCCTGGTGTTACATATATTGGAGAAAAAAAAAAAAGAAACAGAAATGCTTAAGAAATAAGTATCAAGATTTGCATTTCCACTGTCCTACTGAAAAAAAAGTCTCCTTAAATTTTACTGTTTTCCTGTTACTTTCTGTGAATGATTTCCTCTTCAGTAATCCCATTCTTGTGCCTGAATCTTTATTAATATGCTCTAACTAGGACCAAGGTCTATGTGGCATCGTAGGGGAGCTTCTGCATGAGGATGCACGATTAAGTGACCTGCCCCAAACCATGGACCTGTGGGAAAGGTTTTGGTTAGAAGGGAGAGCTGGAGGTCCCTGGTCCAGCCCAGCACTTGGAGCTAAAACAGGTTGCTCAGGGCCTTGCCTAGCCAAGCTTTGAAAATCTCCGAGGAGGGAGATTTCCTCTCTTGCAAAGGCAAACTCTGGTGAAGCTAAAGACCAGTCTCTGGTATTCCTGATCCCTTGGCATAATGCAGAATCCTCCTCCTGCACAGCCCATCTGAAGGTGGTATTGCTATTTTCTGGCCAAGAGACTTTCAATCACAGGACCAAACCCATGGTAGGTGCCAAGGCCCAGAGGTTACTGACTCATTTACCGTTGACTATTTTATGCCAGTTAGCTTTAGTTCAGAATAATTACATTCATGCTCACTAAAATATAAGCCATATATGTTAGGCTTTCCCTAACCTCCTCTTACTGAATTCCAGGACAGGCACTAAATGAAAGGGATGTACCTCATGCATTTATTTTTTTCCTGTGCCATAAATTATTTAAAAGCCTGTCTTTTGTATCACTGCCTTTTACTGACATTCACCAAGATTTTCTTGGGTGAAAAGCATCTATGGAAACTGTATCTATCTATCTATCTCAGCTACAGGTAATGTCAAGAGTACAGGTTCACACTTCTTAGGTCTAAAGGGGAAGATCAGATCTGAGTACAAGAATTGCGCTTTACCCAGCCATATTTGCAAACTGCGATTTAATGGTCAGTGAAGCCATACCTATACACCATGGTAAAGATTTTTTTTTTTTGACATTGCTTTTTGCAGGCCAAAAGAAATCTCAGGTACTTAATATAATGATGAATTATTTCACTGACTCTGTAATTTCAGAAATCTTCAGCAGTAATACTGCATTAATAGTATGATGTTCACATTGCTATTTTTTTGTTTTCAAGGTTTAAATGTTGTGTGCAATGCAATTTAGCACACAGGTGTTTTCAAAATGTTTTACAGCTGTTTCTAATTTGTCTTTCTCCACAGAAAAAAAATACCCTTCACTTGGCAGAAACTTTTATTTTCATTAAATTGATATAGATCTAATCTATATTAAGTATATTTATTGTCCATATATATAACTCGTTGAATGTGCTCAAAGAATTATGGAGTCACTTCTGCCTAAGAATATGGACCAAGAATATTTAAGCTGAATTGTTTTACTTTGTTGCAGACCAAAAGCTGAGATAAAGTCAGGGCTTTGCTGCTGAGTGATACTTTGCTATGCTATGCTTGCTATGTCTGTATATGTCTGTACTACTGTCTGCTCTACAGTAACTTAAATTAAATCCCATAAACTGGGATGAATATATTGAAATTCTTCATTTCAAAGGCAAAAAACCTTGCAGAACTTGCAAAATTTTAACTGAGGTTTCAATACTAAACTTTTTGAAAATATTTCTATCCATTTTTTCATGACTTCTCAAAAGTAGAAAGTTGCATAGAAGTACTTTGAATTTTCAGCAAAATAAGACTTTTTTTTCTGCTTTGACAGCCCCAATCAGGTCAAAGTTTATTTTATTTTAATTCTAAAAAAGTCCCAAACCTAAGCTACTTGTGAGTAAGTTTGTTTTTGTGATGTTCAGAAGAACCTAAAGCACTAACTGGAAACATTATGTTCACTCTGACGCCTTTGCATAAACAAAAATCAGTCTTGGGTCAGCTTTACAAAATTTTTTTTCTAAAATCTTGAGAGATGCGACCTCCTGCAGTCTGTTCTGACTGTGAGGAACCACGATGCAGTTGGCATACCACACAGCACAGCACCTTTAAGTGTAAATAACAAGCAAGCAATTATAAGCAAAGCCCTTTTCTCAGGGTTACTGAATGGTGTTTTTTAGGAAGACTTAATGTATTGTCAACAAGAACCTTACATTTCATCAGTTTGACATACGCATCTTATTAGCAACACCCTTAAATTACTCCTGGAATTGTTATCCTTCTAGATGGTCAGACCATACTCAGTACTACAGCTGCTTGAAAGGGTTCTGCTGAAACAGCTTTGTTTAAAAGGAAAGTGGACTTCGGATTATGTGGAAATCTTTCACTCTTCCTAAAACATCCTATTTTCACCTCCACCCTCGCAATTTTTGGCTTTCAGTATTTTGTAGATAGCAATCTGAAAGCTATTGAAGTGGCACAGAAAGAAAGAAATCATACTTGTCATTGTTTTCCCATGGAGAATAGCTTGTTTGGTTTTTTTTCCAGTAGGCATATAAAAGTATGCAATAAAGAAACAAGTATCTCACTTTTGCTCCCGGGTAGCCAGGAAGACCATGTGGTCCTTGATCACCAGGTTCTCCTTTCCTCCCAGGCTGGCCAGGGGTTCCTGGAAAGCCAGGAGGGCCAGGGGGGCCAGTAGAGCCCCTTCTGATTTCGTCACCCACAAGGCATTTACTGCAATCCCCTTCCTCGCCTAAGGAAAGGGTTGGAAAGAGAAGAAAGAATGCTCTGTCACAACAAACAGACGTTCAGCTCTATCTGCTTTATATATAGACTTGAGAATACTTGAGTAGTTTCTCAAATACTTTAGAAAGGTACCTTTTTTTTTTCTTACAAGAAACCAACACGATGTTTCCTTGTTGTGTTAGCCCCAGCTCAAATTCATCGGTCCCCGAGCACGTCATACTTCAGTAAACTCAGACTGAATACAATGGGAGCTTTACACAACGCCTAACAGCAGATCATCTATCGAGTTATCTGTTACAACCTACCTTTAGGCCCTTTTTGTCCTCTTGGCCCAGGGAAGCCTTGCAGGCCAAATCGACCTGGCGTCCCCTCCTGTCCTTTTAATCCAAAGAGAGAACCTAGGAGTTTAATTAAATAAAAATATAAATTAATCTACTGTAGATCTACTTTTCTCCTCTTTCCTCCCTATTCCTTTGAGCTGCACTGCATCTGCCCTTTTCTGTTTCCCCTCATGTCATTTACTGTCTAACCCAGCCCGTTCTTATCTACCCCCTGCTCTCCTCTTCCTCTTCTCACAGCTTCCCACACCCCTTCCCAGTAACCTCCATCTGCTGTGGCAGATGATCCTTGCCATTCTTTGCTCTCTCTCACCCTGAATTCCTTTGCTCTCCTCTCTCAGCACAACCTACTTTGCAGTACCACAGCCCGCCTGCTCTGGATCACCTCCTGCACACCCTTTTCTCCACTCCTGCTCTTGCACTGCAGTGTGGTGCTTTTCACAGAGGCACGGCACCGTCTCAGTCAGAAGTGGCCTCTGGAGGCCACCTGGTCCAACCCTCTGCTCAAAGCAGGGCCAACCTCGAAGTTACAGCAAGTTGCTCACGGCCTTGTCCAGTTGAATATTGGATGTCTCCGAAGATGGAGAGCCTACAACCTCTCTGTTCCCGTGTCTGACCACCCTCACGGTAAAAAAGGTTTTCCTAATACCCAAGTAGAACTTGCCTTCTTGCAGCTTGTGACCATTGCTTCTTGCCCTGATGCTGTGCTCCTTAGTGAAGCATCTGGTACCATTTTCCCTCTGATCTCCCAAGAGGTAGGAGACAATAGCAGTAAAATTCTCCTTAGCTTTCTCTTCTCCAGGCTAAAGAAGAAATCCAGCTCTCTCAGGCACTCCCTGACACTCATATCCCTCACCCAGCCCAAAACAGACCTTCTTTTCTTTCAAATGTTGCCAGGAATGTCCAAAAACCATGCAAACCTTTCTTTTGCTGATGAGCACATAACACTTCTCCCCTCTGTGTCCCCTCTGCCACCCATTTCATTTCATACCCTCAGTCTACTTTCTCACTTTGCCTTGCCAACAGCTATCTTTAAAACAAGCAAAGATGGTCCTGTGAGTTCTCATCATCTCTCTTCACGTACTTACCAGGGGTTCCAGCAGGACCAGGCGGACCACGGAGTCCCGGTGTGCCGTGCTTCCCCGGAAAGCCAGGTGGGCCCACCTGATAAGCAGGAGATCCTAATTCACCCTTTTCGCCTTTTGGTCCCATCTCTCCAGGTAAGCCTGGCTTATCCCCATCCGCTGAAACAGAACCAGGGAAGAAATTCAGAACAGTTCCTGAATGATGCTGCTCAAGGAGCTGTAGTGTAGCAGAAGGGGAAGTTCACGCCACTGCATCTAGCATGCATGGAAAAATGGAGATATTTAGCATAGAGCAAAAATGGTAACTGTACTTTTCACGTGAGCAAATCAATAGCAGTTACTGAAGCAAAGCTCTGTCATCACCTCTACTTCAGTTGTTTTGCCAGAGCCCCATCGAGGCTGAAGGAAAATGCTCCTCTCAGTTTTTACTCCCGCAGTTAGTTATCTACCACTCTGCACTGCATATTCCATGTCTGCACATCTATTTCCCCCACTCCGACCCTGTACCAGTTAAAACTCGGTATAAAGTTAAGCTGTTGGAACATGCGTTGCTGGGATACTACCATCAGAGAATCCAGGAAGACCAGGCAGCCCACGATCTCCCTCCTCTCCTGGGTCTCCTTGTAGTCCAGAAACACCTGGGAAGCCTGGATCTCCTCTTGCACCTGAAAGATGTGCCCGATCCCACAAAACACATGTTAATGGGATGCTGTTTGTGACCCATAAATGCCAACTCATAATACGTTGCAGATTGCTTAATTCTTAAAAAGTAAAAAATGAGGAAGTTCAAGGGCTTCAGAATATTAGAATTTAAAAAATTAGAATTTAAAGTAATTTCTTAAAGGCAGCTTTAGAATTACAAAAACCTACTACCTCATGCTGTCTCAGTCTGAATAAAGAAATATATCTGAGAGATCTCTGTAAAGCCTGAATATCTGGGAGCTGAGCATGGCCTGTGACAGGAATGGTGTGGAGCCACCAAGCCCAGAAAGCAGAACACCTCTCAGCTCTCACTAATGTACTGCTAGAGCTACACTGCTTCTGGGAAGCACAGGAGACCAGCTTTCTGTGGAGTGGTCCTCCTTTTGCCTCCAAGAAGTTGCCATTATAACAGACGTGTGATACACGAGCTTTCCTCTGCGCCCCGGTACCAAAAAGCATCTGCCTGGGCCCAGCTATTGCCTGCAGAAAGTATCTCCCTTTTGTCAACGGTCAATGATGCTAGAGGACATGCTGTGTGTCCAGTCGCCTGCCTGCTTCCTCCTCTCTCTACGCAGTCTCTCCTGCTCCTAAAAGCCTGGCAGGGTATTCGGGGTGTTCTGAACAATGTTTTGGACCTCTTGCCCCTTTTCTCTGGGAGGAAGGCAACCATTCATTGCTAGACTCTCTGGCTTTCAATAAGAGTAGTATCTTATATGTAATCTTCAATACAACTAGTAAACTCAATAGTATGAGGACACAGGCTGGGGCAATGGCATGTGATCATCCCTGCTGTTTGCTGGCACCTTCCATGGCATAGTTTTGGCCTTGGCAAACTGATAACACCTTCTATGCACTTCTGGTCTGGCCAGCCAGAGCCACCCACAGCTCTGTGGGACAGCTGACAGTGGGTGCTGCAAGCCTAGTGAAAAGATCACAAAGGAAATTTGTCAATTTAAAAAAGGAAAAAAAAAACCCTCTTCTATTCCTTAAGGCTTTTATAATGTGGGTTTTTTTTTTTCTTTCTAAATACTAGATTATAAGAATGGTCTCTGCTGTGTTGCCACTGCTGCACTTTATCCAGAGTCTCTGAAGCAGAAGCCAGAAGACAGACTATCTCATTCTTCCTTTCACTGGACAACCGTCACTTTTTTAACTTGTTTGTTCCCTGTGGACACAGGAACGCATGGATGCCTTTTGTATAGCAATCCACTTTCAGCACAAAAGGTGATTTGAGCACTCTCTTGGAAGGCAATTATACCTCCCAGAACAGTTTAGCAAACCACAGTTTTTTAGGGAATTGAATTCTCAGGATTTCATGCTTTTGATCTATGTAGAAGGTAGTAAAACGCAGCTAAGATAAGCAATCTAAGAAAAGATGACGTACCCTTCCTCGGGATGCGGGAAGGAAAATAGGAAACTGGTCCTGGAGGACCGATCTCGCCTGGCTCCCCCTGTTAACAGAAGTTGAAGTATCACATCTAAGCACATTATTCTAGAGAATTTCTTTTAAAGTGGAAAGGTACGCCGACGAAACACAAAGAAACAAACTTTCAAAAGCACTGACATGACTTTTAAGAAATCTCAGAGATTTCAAGTTAAGAACCCACATCACCAGTTCTACAATGATGACAAATACAATTGTTACTACACGACAGAAAAGAAAGCAAAATGACATCTGGTTTATTGCTTCTAGGAAATGAAAATAAAGCACTACCTTGCTTCCCCTAGGACCATAGCCACCTGGTGGACCATCAAATCCTGGAAAACCCTGTAATACACATAAAAATGATTGACTTTTTTGTTATCAGAGAGAGAATAAAATTATTTGATCTGTAGCAGCTGGCTTCCGCCGATGTTAGTGTGAAAACTATGCAACAGAGCTGAGCAGTTTGCCTCCCTGGGTTGTAGTAATTAGAGTAATACCATTAAGTCTCCTCATGTTTTGATATTCCATCTCTTGGACCAAGCCTAACTCCCGTCACAGGCCAGAGGGACCAGCTGTGGTGCAGGCTCTGTTGCCCTGGCAGTGGTGCAGATGGAAGGAGAACCTACACTCACACCATCCCAAGGAGGCTGCAGGATCGGGGAGGAGAAAGGGGATCCCCTCCATGCCAGCTGACCCTGAGACATGTGGGCCAGGCAGCCAGAACACACCAGCCTGCTGCAAGAAGACTAAACGAGTCTGAATCATTGCGAGTGGACATATTTTCACTGGAATGTAAACAGCGAGCAGCAAAATAGCACCGAAGAGCACAGGTCTTCTTTTGCCGTTTTCCAGGCAGCTGGAGGCTGTTTGGCCAAAGAGGGGTTCCCCAGCTGAATGAGAAGAACTGGAGAAGAACCAGCCGAAGGTGCCTTCATCCAACTCTCCCACCCCCGGGCATGCCTTATCCCAGAGAAAGTCTTCCATCCCTACCCCAGGAAATGTTATAATATTCTTTTATAATATTCTTATAATATTCTTTTCAAAGGTTTGAAATCCAAAGCATGTGGATTAAAACGTGTGGTAAAACACGGTTCATCCTACCACATGAGAGCGTATTTCAGCTGCTGGGGGTACACAGAGCTAAGTGCAGATTTCAGTGATGCTGACAGAGAAGAGATGATCTCTTCTGTGTGCTTTACTTGGCTGTTTGACAACTTTTGTTCTCTATGGAAAATGTTCATATGTACTCTGGAAAGAGACTAGTGTTAAAAAGGAGAGTTTTTAGTAGAAAACAGTGGCCAGGACATCAATCTACATCAGTTAACAGAGTTTCACTGAAACCAGTAGATTTGTATAATTCACACGAGTAATATTATTAGCCAGCTTTTTTAAAATTCAGCATTTCCCGAGTTTCACAGTGGATACAACTCCTACACAGAACCTGAATGCTAATATACATCTCTGTAAGTCACTTACACAATTTTGAAGCACTACAAATACCACAGCTCTCAGCAAGATGCCACAAACTGGACCGCACGCTCCAGAGACCTTTCGTTAAGGGCAACTGTACATCACACCATCAGAAAAGGAGCCTCTTGAGTATCAGGTGTAAAATCTCTTTACACTAGGTGGAGCTGGTGGTCTAAAATGTGAAGCCAGCAGCTGCCTAATTAACTGCGACTTCATCTGCGTGCGCCCAGGACTTAACCATCCTTCTTTCTTTCTTAAGAATCAAATCACTCAAAAATCAACAAAAAGGAGGTCGTTGTGAACAGCACATCGAGTCGGCTGTCCCCTGTCATACACACGTTATGCAATGATACTCCACCCAAACCAATGTACCTTCTGCTGAAATTGTTGCCAAGATTCACCCTCAGTAAGGGGAAGCCATTGACCATTTCTGACTGGAGCATGAACGTATGTTAACGTCAACCATTGGGCTTCAATGGGCTTTGCACCAGCCCCTCCACATATGTATTACTGACAGCATATTCACTTCCATGCCACCAGGTTTTGTGATTGGACCAAACAGTTGTGCAAATGTTATTTTTCGTATTTCATGTACTTTCACATCTCATGTGTTTCACAACAATGCTGCGGTGGCAGGGCAAATCCTTAAACAACTAAGGATGGAGAAGCATGGAAAAGTCACGCATCCCACAGCTACTTGCATGCTTCATGAAGTGATTTCTAATGCTGACTGAAGAAGCCTTTTTCTAAGACCAAACAGAAAGTATGAGCTCTTCTGTGTCTGACAGAATGCTATTTTTAAATATTTGGGTGTGTTTCCATGGGGACAGGGATTTAACTGGTATATTTACCAGTTTCCTTCTTTTCTTCTTTTGTGATATTCAAGATAACCATACATCTCAAACACATCTGGAGAAAGCTACTGAAAAAAGTAAGTTTCTGCAAGTAGGAAGAAAATTACAGAAATCATGGTCACAGTAATGGAAGAATGAAAATGACACCTCCCTGTAGTGCTCTTAAAACATGCTCATGTTTTTTTTTAAGCAAACCAGACTTTAATTATAGGGCTATTTTTTTTCCCACTGATGAGGAAAATAACTGACCCAAAATTACAATGACGGATGAATCCAGATGATATTTGTTAGACTACAGCTGGTAGTCTTCACAGACTTTGCAGGCAGAATTTGTCCTCTACAGTTTACTTTTCAGACAGATTGTCTACATATGTGTTAGAAACAACAGTCTTGAATGAAATACTCACTCTTTCACCACTGAGTCCTGGAAAACCGTTGATGCCAGGCAGTCCCTATGAAGGCACAATAAAATTAGCTAAAAAAAATGACATTCTAACATCCTAATCGTTAAGAACCTTATTATTTCCTAGATAAAATAAATCTGACAGCTCGAAACTCTAACAGTAACAGTCAGAGTTCAGATACTTTTTCAATGAGATTCCTGTATGCTGCAAACAGAACAGGTCTGAAATCTAATCAAGTACTTGATTTTTATCTTTTAATCAATACACAGTAAATTGACCATGAAGATTTTAAAGATGGCTGAGATTTTTTTAAAATGTATGCTGAGTACTGTTGTCACTCTATTTAAGCACTTCAGAAACACTGCCCCAAAGAAAGCATCCATAGATGCCACAAGGTAGTAGTATTTAAATAAGCATTTCTTCTGGGGTCACAAATAACTGGAGCCCAACTCATGTTTGTTAACCGTGGTCTGAAGAGAGCTAAGATGGCAACAGTGAAATATAGTCTGTGCTGAAGACCGGGACAGCAGCTGTGGTTAGTGAGCACAGCTTTAGGTAAGAGATGTAGAAAGCTTCCCAATGATGGTATAGGCATAGTTGTGAGTACCGTGGGGCCCTCCTCCCACTACCATTTCAAAATGGCCTTTCACTTTCCTGTATCAGGCAGTTCAAAGCTAGCAACCTGGTGGGCTGAAGAACTATCATTCCTATGGTTTGTTAATGTTGTGTTGTTGTGTTTTGTGTCTGAAGGCAAACTCTCAGCTTGGATTTTCACATTCAGCTGGGTGAATTTTACTTTTAATGAGTGACTCACCCTTTGTCCTGGGAAGCCCATTACCCCTTCTTCACCTTTTTCAGGAGCGTAGAGAAGTACACCCTAGGAAACATTACAAGTCAATTCAACATATTTCTTCATTATGTGCAAAAAAACTGTAACACTGTTTTATGGAAGCTAAACAGGAAGAAAACATCATTGTAACACATGGAGGATCTAATAATAGCTGCATGTGAAAGAACTGTTGTCCTTAAAATTAAGTGTAATGTGCTTGCTTCATTACAATAGCAGGAGCAGGCCATTAGGGAGAGGACAGGGTTTCCCTCCTATCATCTCCTAATTCCTTATTTCTTCTGTGGCTGCAACTCTGAAGAAGAGCCAAAGCAATTGTTCAGCTATACAACCAATTAAGCAACTGAGCTTATGCCCAAACTGTCGCTTCAGAGAGCTATTTGGCAGACACAGGCATGCTGCTATCCACCCTACTATAAAAAAAAAAGGGGGGAGAAACACATATCCGCTTTTCCTACATCAGCATAAAATCTACAGCTTTCCTAAAGCAGTCAACAAAATTCTACATGTGTAAAATCTGACCACAGCTGAAGACCTGTCTAGCAACTGCACATGGAGGGCATCAGGGTTCTCACACTGTGACCTTCTCCCATAACCTTGTGGAGAAGCTGACCGGACCATCTGAGAAAATAAAGCTCTGCAAAATGCTCAGTGAGGCATCCCTAATTGGCAAAGACTGTATTTTAAACCACTCTGGGAAGTAAAAAGGAACCACTCAATGGCAAAGCTATTTAGACAGTCTAGAGGTTGCCTGTGAGTTAACTGAACCACATTCAGTCAAGCCTGGTTGACAACTTAAATGATACAGCAACACATGGGATTACTGTCCGCTTACTCAACAGACTTAATGACCAATGAGACCAAAAGTCTGTATGTGCGAGACAGTAAACTGAAAAGGATTGAGGAAATTTCCATATATACTTATTTAAGGAAATTTAGTGTCTTTTTTAAACATAGATCAGCAGATCTATGCCCAGGTGGCCAAGAAGGCCAACAGCGTCCTGGCCTGTATCAGGAATAGTGTGGCCAGCAGGAGTAGGGAAGTGATCGTGACCCTGTACTTGGCACTGGTGAGGCCGCACCTTGAATCCCGTGTTCAGTTTTGGGCCCCTCACTACAAGAAGGATGTTGAGGTGCTGGAGCGTGTCCAGAGAAGGGCAACGAAGCTGGTGAGGGGTCTGGAGCACAAGTCTTATGAGGAGCGGCTGAGGGAACTGGGGTTGTTCAGCCTGGAGAAGAGGAGGCTGAGAGGAGACCTTATCGCTCTATACAACTACCTGAAAGGGGGTTGTGGCGACGAGGGTGTTGGCCTCTTCTCCCAAGTAACTAGTGATAGGACGAGAGGAAATGGCCTCAAGTTGTGCCAGGGGAGGTTTAGATTGGATATTAGGAAAAATTTCTTCACTGAGAGAGTGGTCAGACATTGGAACAGGCTGCCCAGGGAGGTGGTGGAGTCGCCATCTCTGGAAGTGTTCAAGAAACGTGTGGATGTGGCGCTTCAGGACATGATTTAGAGAACATGGTGGCGCTGGATTAATGGTTGGACTTGATGATCTTGAAGGTCCTTTCCAACCTAGTGTTTCTGTGATTCTGTGATCAGCCGAAGTGAAGAGATTTATTGTTAAAGCTAAAATTAAAAAATGTGTGAGGAAAATCTTATTTCAGTAAACCAGTAAGAGAACGACTGATTGCACTGTGGAACCATCGCATGTCACGTTGTTCAGTTTTTCTAAAGCATCAGAACTGGTGTCTCTGCTTATGTTGCTCCATATCTATATTGCATCATTTCAATGAAGAACGCACCAGTATTAACTCCAATATTATTATTTGTCTTTGTTTTTCCCCACTTGACTTACTGGAATTCCAGCTTCCCCTTTTTGACCAGGTTCTCCTCTTTCACCCTAACAGTAAAGAAAAAATATTCAGATATGTTAGGCATTCCCAATTTACATTTCAATAATTTTTTTAAAACACAAAGTGACAAATGTTTATCAAGAGAAAAAACACCACTCTTGTGCTATTCTTTATTCATACACTTGTCATATTAAATGCATGTTTTCATAAGTTTTTAAAGATGCTTTTTAAAAAAACAGTAATTTTTCTAAAAAAGGTTTCTAGGAATGTGAACACCCCAGGTTGTTTCCAGACTTGTTTATGAGATGTCTGGATGGTGAGTGCCTGATTAATGTCGATAAATAAATGCACATTCTCCCATTTTTACCAACTGATCATCTATGAATTATCTGATCAAAAGTAGGAGTTCCTGTTAGGATGAGACAAATCATAGCCTAAGGTTGACTCGCTATATTGACGGTATCTCCATTAAATATAAAGGTTCTCCAGATAAGTAGCTCCTATGCAGACATCTCTGCTTACTCATGGAAATCCCAACGTGTATATTACTTAATGCAGACTGCAGATTGTCAAAGGCATTTTTAGATCTTTCAGTACCATATTAATTTACTTCTCTTACTGCAGAAAATGCATGAGCCATGTGAACTTTCTAATTTCAAATTTGGGATGAAAAACTACTGGTCTGGAGGTTGGCGTCTGATACAGAATATACGCATACAGGGTGTAAGTACCTCTGCTCCCAGCAAGAATGAATAGATGAGAATAAACTGCACCTTGCTGTTGAGGATTTCTCCAATACTTATGAACAAGCCTTAATTGTAAGTATACAAATATGTGCACCATATAGGTAAGTTATATAAAACCCACAATAATTCAGACAGCTTCCCTAAAGATATGTTTCCTTTACAGGAAGAAAATTTCATTCACTATTATGAAAAATAAGGTATTGAATGATTTCTCAGCAGGTATTTCTGCTTGTAAAATGAGAAGATGCAAGTGATGGCCAGTAGTTGCACACTCACACAAAAAGAACAAATTTGCCTAAGGTACCTCTAGTCTGTGAGAAATGCTTTCTTGAATTACTTTAGCCACCATCGTTTCAATAAATACTTCATGATCCAAGCTGTAGGAAAGTAGCAGATTTCTCTTTTGATACACTAAAGTCTTCTAAGTACTACATGTAAAAGCACATTTGTACAATATTTTCCTTTTGGTACTGCAGAGGTCTTAGTTCCTTGTGTATTGTGGCAAAATACTCTGTAGTTACCTTGTGTTTGTCAGAGGGGACACCTATCAGTTCTCTTGTAGGAAGCCCAGGTGGACCTGGAGGACCTGGGGGACCCTGCAGGAAAAGCATAAGGGTACATTCACTAGCAGTTATAATACCTTGTCAAGTTGTTTATCAGCACAGGGTCTAAGGAACTGCAACAAAAGCAGCAACACAGATTTGCCCCTGCTAGGAGTGTGGTTCTAAACCTCTGAATAAATTGATGGCAAGACAAATTTATTTTGTGCTGGGATTAACATATAGCAGTACTTGCTCTTGCCCTGCATGTTTCCAGAATGATGGTAAAGATTATTGCTTTATATAAAGTGGTCTGGCTCTATAAATTTCAGAAGTGTTACCTCTGATTTGTGTTGGTGTAAATGAGGGTACAGTTGGATGCAGACATAGAAACATAGAATCATGTAGAAGTTAGTTCAGCTACGACAATCCTTACAGAGATTATTATCACTTTCAAAGTTATACTTGTTTGTTTTTATCTTATTATGTAACACAATTGCAAATGAAGAGAGTGTTTAAAATAGGTTACTTTATAAATAGCAAATAACACCAACCTGTCATTTAGTAGTGATATTAATTTATTAGTTTTCCTTTACCTGTTCACCTTTTTCTCCATAGAAGCCAAGGCCCCTGTTTCCCTGCAAAAACAATAGGTGAGGACTTACAAAGTGTATGACTCAGTTTTCTAATGTAAAATTCAAATTTAAACACGCTTAAAGGCCTTTTGAGGCTTACAGGTCTGTAGGACACTACTGAAGAACTGCAATCAAATGATAGTCTAGGTTTACCTCAAAGTATTTTTATAGATTTAAAAGTATTTTTATAGACCCAAACATTCAGAAAGACAACTTTAAAATCTCATGCTACCAGCACTTCCTACAAGAGACTTTGAGTCATTCACTGAGTAATGTCATGAAAAGATCAAGCATTTCTTCTGCAAGTTTTTTAATAGCACTGAATGTTAAATAAAAATACCTAAGTCATCTGGAACAATGAACTCATATATTTTTTCCGCTGAGATATAACTGAATATTGTAAAGACTGCAAGGATTCTCTGTTCATAGGAAGCTACTGTGACAACAGTAGCAAATTAAATCTGGCTCTAGAACTGGCTTAATCGTTTCAGGGTAGGCGATCCCAGTGTAAGATTAACTTCTTGTGGTATGCAGCCAACACAGGTGGTCTTCTTGTGCTACACACCCTTGGTGCAGCCTGTGGTTCTTTATTTTACTGCCTTCAAGTGGGTCTTGGATAAACCTCAGCGACACAAAATCTACATAAACAACTCTGACACAAAGACTTACTTGTGGTCCTGGTGGTCCTGGGGGCCCTGGTGGTCCCTGGGGAAACAAAATAGGGGAGAGCAAGTTACTTGTTGCTTCCTAATCAATGCATCCAGGAGGTCAGTTACTTTAGGTCTGAAATGTATATATATATTTAGAAGGCAGAGTATTCCTCAGCATTCAGTGTGCTCTCGTCACTGCATCAGCTGCATTTACCGTTCTGAAAAATACCCTCCTAAGTCACATCGTAACCTTTCCTAACCAAATAACAGTCTCCCAGCTTACACCTAATGAAATCCCATTTTTATTTCCAAGTAATAAGAACTTGTGCTTTTGGATACTGACTTAACATTTTAAGCTCAGACCTAAAGTTAAGCACGTCTTTAAGTCCTTCACTGGACCGGTGTCTTAGTACTGCATCAGTCTGTAAAGTGCGTTGAGCTACCATATGCATCTCAGATCACCTATTTGGTATTTGTACAGAGTGAAATGAAAGGAAGATGGTGGGAAATGAAACTGTAACAGGAAAAAACGCTGTCAGAGTCTTGCAAGAAGAGCAGTAGGAA